CTGAAGATGGCACTTTTGTGCCGAAACATGTAGTGCGAGTGAGAAGAGGGGATAGATGAATGTATGCACTAGAAGACGGATAAAATAAATCATGTACTTATATATTACTGAATTTTCTATTTATTTGTTTGGGAACGACTATACAGATCAAAATATGATTCAGGAGGAAATTAAGTGGAGACTGAACTCGGGTGATGCTTGCTACCATTCATTCTAGAACCTTCTATCTTTCCGTCTGCTGCCTAGAAACATAAAAATTAGAATATACAAAACTATAATTTTTCCTGTGGTTCTGTACGGGCGTGAAACTTGGTCTCTGTCTTTAAGGGTGGAACACAGACTGACGGTGTTTGAGGATAGGGCGTTGAGAATATTTGGATCGAAGAGAGATGAAGTGACGGGAGGTTTGAGAAAACTGCATAATGAGGAGCTTCATAACTTGTACTCTTCTCCAAGTATAACTAGAATGATCAAGTCGAGGAGGATGAGAAGGGCAGGGCATGTAATACGAATGGTGGAGAAGAGGAATGCATGTAGGATATTGGTGAGAAAGTCAGAATGAAAGAGACTACTAGGAAGACCAAGATGTAGGTGGGTGGACAATATTAAAATGGATCTTAGATGGGTATGGACTGGATCGATCTGGCTCAGGATAGGGATCAATGGAGGGCTCTTTTGAACACGTTAATGAACCTTCGGGTTCCATAAAATGCTGGTAAGTTATTGAGTAGCTGCACAATTGGCGGCTTCTCAAGAAGGCCTCAGCTCCATGAAGTGAGTATTTTGTCTTTTAGGGGTTTCCTTTGCTTCATTAATCCGGACGACCTCTCCTCCCAATTAACCCGGATTAGCGAGGGTTTACTGTAATTCAAATATTTTTAACAGCAAAAGAAATGTATGATGATAGTAATGCATTCTGCGCATACAAAGACGAAGATAAGTTGCGCGATGAAACCATTCTCAAAACACATAACGTCCACAAAAGAATAGCACAAACGATTTCATTGATAACTTTACTACCACAAAATATGAATAAATGCCTTATAACGAAACCAGGGGCACATTATGGATCTCTTCTGCCGGACGTTTCGTCCGGTCACTTCAACATATCCTGCGCCCAAAACGCACTGGCACGAGTTTGAAACCTTGACCTTGAGTCAGTTCAGCTATCGGTCAGGTCTACGCTCTCCAAGCAAGAACTAAGTTACCACGCACGAGACCAGTCCCTGAGTGACCGGTAGGTTTGCACACCAGGACAGAGTACCAGAACCCCACCCCATCCCCACTCTCACGTGCCAAGCTTCCAGATTCATTCCGGTGAGAGTAACCTGGTTCCTCCCACGTTCGTTGCAACAGTCCTGCCGACGTGCTACCCACGTCAGAATCTCTGCGCCTGGCGCGACTCCAAAGCCTCAAACAACACGGGGTGATGTCCGAGGAGAGGGCGGGGAGGTCAACAGACTGGACCTCTTCTGTCGAACCCGTACTTCAAGACAATGGGGACGTACTGAAAGAGAAGGTCTGTGTGTCGTCGGAGCTGGGAGATCCTGTACTGTCGGCTAGGCACATAACATAGGCTCTATCTACACTAACAGAAATACAGCACGAGATTGTCATACACAAAAAGGTTCCTTTTCAAGAAGTTTATGTTATACTATCACTTCACAGAGGAAAATTAAACAAGGCATGCTAACCGAGATACAAATATGTCGATGTCAATGGGTAAGTAACAGACCTGCATTCAGATACTAACTTGGAATGTGCTTGGGAGGGTCTAATAAAAACAACGAAACACTCTCACGCGGCCGTAAACAGGCCACATAAGGAAGTCCATGGAGAAACCTCCTCACAACTTCCTCCAGCCGTTGTTACGTCCCCCCACCCCGACCATCATTACACACGGAGAGGACGCTGATTGACACAAAGGCGAGGTAGACGCAACCCTCGAGCACGTCCTCGCCATCCATGGCACCTCTTTCCGTCGCTTCACTGTATGCATAGGCATTACCGAGCAACTACCAGGGGCCTGAAGAGTGTACTGTGGCTAGTGAAAGGTCTCCCCTGCAAGTGGTCCCTGGTTGTGTGATCGGAGAAGCCGGGACAGCGTAGTAGGTATAACGACTGGCTACAGGTTGGATGGTCGTAGTTCGAGTCCTGGTAGGGGCAAGCTTTTTCTCCTCTCCACGTCGTCCAGACCGGTTCTGAGGCTCACCAAACCTATCCGGTGGGTACGGCGGGGATAAAGTAGACGGGGCGTGAAGCTGAACATCCACCTCTAACTCGTGCCGAGGGCAAGAATACGAGGTTCTATACATCCACTCCCCATACGTCTAAAAACAAACAAAACAAACTCCGTGGCCTGTAAGCAAACTATATAGACCGAGCGACCGCCGCTTGTCGGCGAAGTTAGTGCCAACTTTAGCGTGGTCAGCGCAACGGTTCCCCACGGCCGTTAATCTCGGTTTTCTAGACCGCAGCCGCTATTTCCTTGAAATAGCTCCTCAATTATCCTCAGGAGGCTGAGTGGAGCCCGTTCCAGACCCACTACTTCTCAGATAATCTGGTAGCGCCAGGAACTGAACCCGGAACTCTGACCACTAGACCATGGAGATGGTCCCCCATACGTCTTCATGGCTTAATTAGTTAAGCGCTGGGAAAACTTGGCTTTTTACTAAATTCAATCTGTTACGACTGTTTTATCGAATCACACAAGTTGCCGCCCTGTGAGAGTGTAATTTGTGCTTCAAGAGAGACGGTGACGAAGGGGAAATGTTCAAGAACCACCATCTGATGCACAAGATCGAATATCGCGAAGCAATACGAGAGTTAACATACATTTGCCATACAAGACAAAATATATTAACACAGGAAAAGTGGACAGAACAAGTAGACTCAATGCCCAAAGAGGGAAGACCATAAACCATTTTGTAGTATTCACCACGGTGAAGAACACCGTAAACTAACTTTACAGAGCTGAGCCCTTGTCGAGAAGCCGCCAGTTGTGTAGCTACTCAAAAACTTCCCAGTATTTTATGGAGCCCTAAGGTTTATTACCGTAATCACAAGAGCCTTCCACTGCTCCCTAACCTAAGCCAGATCAGTCCAGTCTATACCGCCTCATCCTATCTTTCTAAGATCCGTTTTAATATTATCCACCAACCTACGTAATGGTCTTCCTAGTAGGCTCTTCCCTCCTGACTTCCCCACCAATATCCTGTGCGTGTTCCTCTTCTCCCACATTCGTGCTACACGCCCGGCCCAACTAATCATCCTTGACTTGATAATTTTGATTATACCTGAAGGGCACCATGTGCTCAAGCATCCGCAGTCTATTTACCCCATTTGATGTCAGAGACCAAGTTTCATACCCATAAAGAACAACGGGCAAAATTGTAGTTTTGTTTATTTTAATTCTTACGATTTTAGACAGCAGACGGGAAGACAAAGGGTTCTGGACTGAATGGTAACAAGCATTACCCGAATTCAAACTCCCCTTAATTTTCTCCTGAATCAAATTTTGATTTGTTACTGTCGTTCCTAAACATCTTAACTGTGCCACATTTTCAAAGGATCTGTTAGCTACCTTGATGTCATGATTATTTTGTCATGCATTTTGGTGACGAGACAACATAGTATACTTAGTTTTCCCTGCATTTACTTCTAAAGCAATCTCCTTACTAGCATCAATTAAAGTTTCTGTGTATTTCTATATGGCCTCTGTGGTCTAGTGGTCAGAGTTCCTGGCTACTGATCCCGAGGTTCCGGGTTCGAATTTCAGAGAAGTAGTGTGCCTGAAACGAGGTCCACTCAGCCTCTTGAGGATAATTGAGGTACTATTTCAAGGAAATAGCGGCTCCGGTGTAGAAAATCGAGATTACGGGCCGTGGGGATCTGTTGTGCTGCCCAAGTGACACCCTCTATCTGAAAAAGTTGGCACAAACTTCGCCGACAAGTGGTGGTCGCTGGGTCGGTATAGTTCGCTTGTGGACTTCAGGCCACTTGGTGTTTTTCTTTATGAGACATCGTAAACATGGTAATTAAATAAGAAAGGGCTTGGAGCTAGGTTAAAAAGCAGATGAATAAAACAGTCTCAGGGCTTACCGCTTTTCGCCCGTCATCACTGCATATTCTGCACATAGTTCTACGCCAAACAGCACCTTCAGCCATTAATCCCACTTTACCGAAAGGGCTGGCGAATCGCTAACAATCTACACTCGTACACGGGAGGCACTAGGTCGAATCTCTGCCGGGCCACCGGATATTCAGATTGATGGTTTTCGTTGGTTTCCTCAGTACCTCCAGGAAAAATCCTGGACAGTTTCTCGACTAGGCAACGACAGTTTCCTTCCACTCCATAACTCATCAACCATCCTACCATTCGACACAATAAAACTAGCCACAGGATCGTAAAATTATCCACACAAAAATCCCATTTCCGAGGTTTTCTCTCACACTCTTCAACCTGAAATGAATGTGACTAGTGTAGAAGAGCAACAGGGCATTCTTATGAGATACAGCCCACTGCACGACAACTCTTCACTGCACATCATAACAACCTTAATTGCGCATCTTAAAACTCTACGTGTAGGCAAGCAACCGGCTCTAGTTTATGAGATCAGACGGGCATTAATGACTGATAAAACAATTATGATCCGAGTTTTAATTAGCTGAAAACATCACAGCCATAATTATGACTGATACATTGCTAATACATGTGTACATGCGCACTACAGCGCAGACATAATGGTAAGAAAAGCAAAAAGCTATATGTACGAACATAAAAACGAGACTGGCCGTAAGGTGGCCACGCCATAGCTCAAGCGGTTAGTCGCTGGCTTCCCACCGCGGCGGCCCGGGTTCGATCCCGGCTCCAGTCAAATGGGATTTGTGGTGGACAAAGTGGCGCTGGGGCAAGTTTTCTCCGAGTACTTCGGTTTCCCCTGCCAATCTTCATTCCACCAATTGCTCCACAATCACCCTCACCTACCATCTGGGGCTGGTACAATAGGCCAGAAGTGGCTGCAGTACTCCCACCCCACTAGCAATAAAAAAAGGAAGAACGGTATGAAAGGAGAAACGCTATGAACCGATGTTATCATCAAACTGATGATGGCGATGATCACTACTTCCTGCGTTAGACCTACTAGAACCAGTTACGGATATCAGACAGTAATCCTTCCGTTGTTTCCGAATTGTTTTCAAAACATCCGCGCGGGGGGNGGGTTCGGAAGATCTCTGAAATAACGGAGGGATGACATTGGTTGATTTCTTGGAATCCTGTCAGAGCCCACCCTGTGACCGCGTCCTTACCAGTTTCTCCTATATTCAACTCGTGGTCTTCTGGGTTTCGATACCAGCGTTTCGGAGAATCATGCTGTCTCCATGTTCAGGGTTGGAGTGTGTAGGCTAAGGAATTTATTCAATTTATGGTTAGGTTGCGAGGAAGACTACACGAAGCCACAAGACCATACAATATGAAGAGTCAATGTTACCACAGCTGTGGTCATAGAGTTCTGTCTTCCACGATATGACGCCAGGTAGTCCGTCGAAAGTACAAGAAGTTCTAGGAAGAATTCCCCCACTTTCCTTCGATACGAAACGGGCCGCACAGAAAATGACGCGTCCAACAATTCTATTGTTGCGTGTGTATTCGTTGGCGCGGTAACGCTTTTACTGAGCAGTTGCCTAGCACCGATCGGAGGGATACACACATAAGACACACAGACTGATAGGAGGGATTTATGAGGTGCGTCGTTAAGATCGGTTCAGGTGCCATAATATACATATACCAAGTTTCATAAAGAATGGTTCAGGCATTCAAAAGTTGACAGTGGGAGATATACAGCATGGTGATTTCATAAGCCAAATTTTATTTTTTGAAAATAAGTAAGGAAGGCTAAAAAGACGGTGCGGAGAAACATACCGCCGCCATGCTTGGCTTGTTTTTCGAACCTGAAGAAGGCAATATGTTTCTCCGAAACGTCAGTTGATTTGCAGCAGATTAAACGGCGCTATATCCCAGAAGACAGAAGTCTTGGGATTTGTAGTTCTCCCACCATCTCCTCTTAACAGTTCTTCTTAGCGCACACAACTCACTGACATCAGATGATGTTCGCCTAGCAACTAACTGTCTTATAAATTAATAAATTAATGACAGCTAAAGATTTCGTTTGTAATTCCTAGTATGATAACGGCAACAGTAATAGTAATAAAATATTGGCTGAGCCGTCCGTGGTGCGCTCGAAATCTGAGATCATGGTTTCGAATTCCGCCTGTAGGGAATACATGTAGGTGTTGGTTATTCTTCTATGTGGGAAGAGGGCTAGCAATGGGCCGACAATTCATGAAGTTTTGCAAAAGCCTACAGGATTCCCTGTTTCAGGTTCAGTTCCGTGTCAGGATGCTCTAGAGGTCTCAATTCCTCTCATCTGAATGATAATGGAAGTTGCCGTGTAAAAACGCGGCAGAGTCCCTGAATTCTTTAAATACGTAGTTATGAGAACGTTTCAACTGGGACAGTCGAACACAAACGGCGCGACAATCAGAAAGGGCAGGCCTACGCGTTCGTATTTGCTTAGTGAGGGGTGGAATCCAGCTGGGTCCACTCGGCACGGCGGCCACTGATTAGCCTATTGTATCTACCACGGGTGATTATGATGATGGAGAAGTTGGTGGAATGATGATTGGTAGGGGAAACTGAATTACTCGGAGAAATCCCGCCCCAGCGCCACTTTGTCCACCACAAATCCCACATGACCAGACCCAGGATCGAACCCGAGCCGCCGCGGTGGGAAGCCAGGTACTAACCGCTTGAGCTATGGCGCGGCCTAAGGTAAGGCCTAACTCAGATGCAAGTTCATTTTTTCGGCTCGCGACATAACGTCAAATCCTTGCAATTCAAACCGCGAAGACCCAATGCATAGCCAGTCACTGCAACATGCCGATAAGGCTCTCAAAGTAACATCACCGACTTGCTTCCACAATCGAGCAGTAATTTGCCATGCATGCAACAAATTAAACATACCGAGATCGCAACCGTGAGGCACAAATACTTGCAAAATGGGCAAAAAAAAAGTTTAAAGCGTTAATTTGGAATACAAACAAATGCACGGCTATTTCGGGCACGAACGAATGAGAGGACCTACCAAACCGGGCATGCCGAAACTACATTCACCAAAGTTCGCGCAGTAAAAGTATTAAATAAGTTTACAACGCTGTATCTACACTACATATGTAGGTGGCCGGGCAGTCTGAGGCATGAACTGTCTTCGCCCGCTCGAACATTGTGGCCGTGGGTTCGAATCACATTAGAGGCATGGATGTCTGTGCGTTTATTCTGAGTATAGGTAGAGGCATTGCGGCGGGCTGACCCCCGTCCAAGGAGTCCTACTGATTGTGTACAGGATTATGAAAATGAAAAAGACGCCACGGTCTAACAAAGGGCCTGCAGACCCATTGATGGATGGATGAATCAATGAATATACACTATATAGCGGTGAAGAGGAAGGTCAGTGAATAGTGAACTGTAAGCGGTTCAGACGGAACGGTTCGTCATCTAGTCCCATGTATTATCCTGGCATTTTGCTGAAGACAGCGGACCTCGACAGGATAGCAAATGTTCCTGCCTAGATTCGAACACAGCGTCTTTCGAATTCAAGTGTAGAGTGTTACCGCTACACTAACCTGCTCGGTAGGAAGGCGGCAAATGACCGAGCAGGCCAACCATACGAGCATCAGGCATTACGAGTCGATCCGTACGGTTGTGCCCGATTTATACAGCGTACGTAAGGTCTGGAACGAAATCCCACACCGCGCTATTATCTCCCTCTCTCTTCACTACTCGAACGGAATCCGAAAACAACTTCAATCGGCGCAGGCTTATGGAGATTACAGTCCACAGTCCCGGGACCACGATGTTAGCAAACGATCGCCAATTTGGACACGACAGGTGACATGAGGGGAAGATGGGACTAAGAGCACTTTCTATTCGGGCGAAAGTAAAATACTGGCCGATTAAAATAGCCATGTGGCGTTAGGTTGACCGCCTCTGTGGTCAAGTGGTCAGAGTTCTTTCCTACAGATCCAGAGGTCCGGGGTTCTATTCCCGGCGCTATCAGATTTTCTGGGAAGTAGTGGGTCTGGAACGGGGTCCACTCAGCCTCGTGAGGACTTAGGAGCTATTTCAAGGAAATAGCGGCTCCGGTCTAGAAAACCTAGATTAACGGCCGTGAGGATCCGTTGCGCTGACCTCGTGACACCCTCTATCTGATAAAGTTGACACTAACTTCGCCGACAAGCGGCAGTCGCTCGGTCGGCAAGTTCGCTTGCGGACTAAAACCACGGAGTTTTTCTTTTTGCCTTATTTGATGATGCAGTCTCTTGGGGCCTGTCTTGGCTTCCATGTAAGCGGAACATTCGGACCAAAGCAGGTTTCTCCTCGTGCATAAATTGCAACTAATGTCTAGCATTCAGGAAGGGTTGCCTATGGGCCCTCAGTGCTTGCGTCACCCCAGGCATTTTCCTTCACGTGTGAAGAGCGTGTGTACGACACACCAACGTAATTACGTGTACATATCTTCCTTTTTCCTGAAGTGATTATGTCTGTCATGCATGAAATCTGAGTCTCCCACCATGTCATGACTTTCCTTCAGAATTGCCCTGTTGCGTTGTTTCCTTCCATTTGAGTACCAAATGCGTAAGAATTCTAATGGGAGACGCATTTCGTCCTTCAGGTGTGTCGCGTCCGCAAGTTTCACTCCTAAGCCCGACTCGCTTCCTCACTCTGCAGAAGCCATGCAGTGTTCCCATGGTTGCCGTTGCAATAGAATAATCAATGCAGCGACGCGGCTTCACGTATCTCTGCTCGAGTTTGAAAGGAACCGCCTCATGCAGCACCACTCCCCCCCTACGACTTTTTAATTTTCTCAACAGAATGTACTGAGGCTCTCTTCTGTGCTCCTGCTGAACAGAAAATGCAGATGTATCCTCGCTGGCCTCATTTTGGTATTAAGAGTAATAAACTTTGCCACATCAAAAAATCTTACTGTCAAAAGTACAATGTTCCCCCATGGTAACATTCATGAATTTAGTTAGTTATTGGAGAGGGTGGGTTTCCCCGTGCACTGAGACCTGTACTGGTCCACTGTGCTTCCCTCTATGATTTCTACCAGTCTCTATATCCTACCGGTACTGGTGCTTACCATCAGTCCCGCCCAGCCAGCGAGACCGGCTCTACTAGCTGAGAGGTATCTATAATGCTTTCCCCATCTACCAGAGGTATTAGAGACTGCTGATGGGCGGGAAACGTCCGTTAATTTGGCTCAGTGACCTCCTTTGGAGATATGAGGTTCTTTTACGTGCCGTAAAGCTACGACACGGGACCCACGGCTTAAAGTCCCTCCCGGAG